AACGCTCGTCCACGTGTTGCGAAGATGACTCGCCAGACGATTTCGGAACCGGGCTGGGAAGTTTTACCCCATCCAGCGTATTCTCCGGACTTGGCCCCTTCCGACTATCACTTGTTCCGGGCCCTCGAGAATCACCTGCGGGACAAGGCCTTCGACGATCGAGCACAACTCGAAAAGGATGTCGGCCATTTCTTCGCTTCGCAATCGCCAGAGTTCTGGGCAAAGGGTATCGAGCAGTTACCCGTGCGTTGGGAACATGTCATAGACAACAATGGTCATTACATTGTAGACTGAAATTGCATTTCAATAAAGTTATAAAATTTTGACAAATTTGCGCAGTGTTGCAAAGACTTTCTTTCCAACCCAATATAAATTTCTATCCCATTGGAAAGGCAACTTAGTTCTCAGTATATGTGCGAAATGACACTTCATATACGCAGATCGCTGGCAATAGTGATCGCAAACAAAGCAGTACCGAATTCAGAAATTATTGATTGGGAGGGGGCGGTTCCATGATTCCAAATCCGCCTACCCTTGCCCTCCGTCCAACCATCTTTTCATTTTTCTTCTTCATTGCAATCAAAATATTCATTTCAGAGTCCCCGACGAAAATTAATATATATGCTTTCCATTTTCATAAGCAAAGTGCAAACCTTCCTGTGGTTGGGGTGGGGGGTGGGGGGTGCCAGTCACTCCTCACCCCCCCCCCCCCTTCCTGGATTCGCCGTTGAAACAAAGCTGTGGTGCCAGTCCCCCCCCCCCCCCCCCCCCCCCCCCTTCCTGGATTCGCCGTTGAAACAAAGCTGGAAAAAAATGGCCTCTCAAAAGACAAGTGTTATCTGCGTGCGGTTGATCAGGCGGTTTCCATTCGAGATTGCAGACAGGCAGGTCTGCTCGACAGCGAAGAGGGTTTCGATCTCCCTCTGTGCATGACGTCATGTGGTTAGGAAAAATGCAGCGTCATCTGCTACTGCATTGACAAGGTCACTGAAGAAAACATTCTTTTTTTCATTCATTATAGCTTTCTTGGGCTTCAAGCGATCGCTAAATTTCCTGATGCGGAAGAATGAAGAATGAAGTAATTCAAATTAGACTGGAAAAACAATTGATATGTTCGAGGAATATTTTGGCTATTTTCAGTATCAACAGGGTGTCCGAAAATTTATCACCTCATTTGTTTTGCTTGTAACTTTTGAACTATTAGAAAAAAAAACACAAACTGTAAACGACAAATAATAGTTTAATTCAATAAGTTTTTCATCTTTAAGTTCTAAAGATAACATCTAACAAGTGTCCTCCGTTAGAGAGCTGACAGATTCGAGACCTTTCTACGGCATGCTCCATGACTCTACCCAGATTTTCTTGTGGTATAGCGGCTATTTCGGCTCGAATGTTTTGCTTGAGTTCTTGCAGAGTTACTGGTTTGTTGATGAACACTTTTGCCTTTAGATAACCCCATGAAAAAAAGTCCGGGGCCGTCAAATTCGGTGAACGCGCTGGCCAATTTAAATCTCCATATTTCGAGATTATGCGGTTCGGGAAAATTTCCCTCAATATATCCATTGTCATGCGAGCTGTGTGTGCTGTGGTACCATCCTGTTGGAACCACATGTCCTCCAGGGCTAGCCTATTCAGCTCGGGTACCAAAAAGTCCTGTATCATTACTCTATAGCGGTCACCATTAACTGTAACTACATTTCCAAGCTCATCTTCGAAGAAATATGGCCCTAGGACGTTTTGGGACGTCACCCCACACCAAACTGTTACCTTACGTGGGTGCAACGAACTCGAATGAATTGCCCTAGGGTTTGCATTTCCTCAGAACCGGCAGTTTTATTTATTGACCGAACCATTTAGCTCAAAGTGAGCTTCGTCCGACATCAAGAATTTTGAAGAAAAATTGATGATTTCAGCATCAAGATTTAATAGCACTTCGGAGTAAGTAAGACGTGTTTGAGTATTAGCTGGCAATAGTTCTTGAACCATCTGTATCTTGTAAGGGAACAGACTCAAATCGG